GCAATACTGTAGAGCTCTATGTCATCTGCACAGGTCACCAGTACACCGGGTTTCATCTGGGACGGGAACTCCACATACATGGCCAGTTTGAGCTCCAGCATCTGGTAGAGAGGGTCACCCAGCGGCACGGCGGTGAAGATCTTCCCCAGGGCGCTGGCACTGGGCAGACGCTGACTCAACCCACCTGGATGGATGAGGAGAGAAAGTGGGGAAGATCACATACAATACGTGCATTATTTAAAATGTCTGATCATTTGCAATCAGCCCCTTAACTTTAGAATAACTTGAAAACGTTCACGAAAAGTTAAATGAAAGACATTTTCTTTTTAAGTCTGTAATCACATACAAATGATACACATTGTTACCAATCACATGTCTTGTCAGACTTCAAAGTATTTATTTTGCCAATACACTACATTATTGAAATAATGTACATTTTTCTTTTGACGTATGAGATAATACGTTTTTGGAATTGAAATCTGAATCTGTTGGGGTTAATTAGACGATGATGATCTGCTGCTGTGGAAGGAAGTGGAAGTTTAATTGAGTAAGAATAAAGCTTGTAGGGAGTGTGTGTGCAGTTTCTAATCTAATGTTCTCTGCAGTCTTGACATACTTTATTTTTTATGCTTAAATATAATAATAATAAGAATCAATAAATAAATTAGCCGACATGGATGCAACAGTAATTGTGTTGTTGTTATTTGGACTGTGTGTGAGTCAAGAAGCGGAGCCCTTTGCGGTGGTAAAGTTTAAAGAAAGGCCATAATATCATGGTAAAGTATTGTTGCTTATTTTATTAGGGCAGTAATACTGTCTGGAGCCTGACTTTGGCAAATGGCCTTAATAATTCACGGGCAATAATGGATTTACTTTGATAGTATATATGCATGCAACCCATCCATCTATTTTCTGCAGGCCCTTATTTGTAATCAGGATCATAAGGGAGAAGGAGGTCATCACAGCAAGTACCTGTAGTGCTGACAGTGCTGACTGTAGCTTTTGATCATCAGTTCATCGTTTCTGGTTTTTTAAGGAAAAATGCCAAAGATTTTGTAGTTCCATCCTCCAAAATGTAAACATCTCAGCTACAGATTACAACCCCTTCACCTCACCCTCCCGTTCCAAACCTGTAGCAGAAGCTATGGTGGTCCCATCTAGAGCCACTGTTTGGTTTGTCCATGGTGGACTATTGTAGAAACATGTCGGTTCAACATGTCGGACTCCGCAGTAGAGGACCCGCTCACTCTGCAGATAAAAATGGCTTCAGTTTCGCAGCCAGTGGTTTCTGCTACATGCTTGGAACGGGGAGCTGCATTGAGTTTGTTGCAATCTGCAACTTCACAGCTAGATGCCACTAAATCCTACACACTGGTCCTTTAATTTAGGCCTGTACGATATTAAAGTGAATCCCTTTGGTTTTGCTTATAATTGTGAACAAAACAAGTCACTTAAAGATGATGTATCAGCTTCTGGAAAATTGTAATGGGCATTTTTTACTACCGTTTTCTGACATTTTATCGACCAATAATTACACAAATACCATCACTGAGAATACCGTATCAGCATGAATTGGAAGAAAAGCAGCGCAAGACATAATTGTAATTTATTTAGACATCTAAGGGCAACAAAAGGTTATTAAAATCTCCAACCTGCATGGATGAGGATGACTCTCAGTCTGCTCAGAGTCTTCCCATAGATGTCATTCAGCTGCTGCAGCGCATACAGCGTGGAGCCCCCATTCCCTTGAAAACACAAGGTCAGACTAGTAATAATTTCTAATAATGTGGTGCTTTGTTGATCCCCCCTCAACAGCAAACAGAGGCAGTTAAAATGAAACTGGAGAGTGTCCGTCTGACTCACTCACCTATTTTAGACCCAGGCGGATCTGAAAAGACCTTGTAGTGAATTCCATGGGGAAGCTCTTTCCTGTCAACTTTCTGTGTGATCTGCAGCTCATATGCTTCCCTCTGGCTCCAGTCTGCAGCAGTCACAACCACCACGTCCCAGAACTCCCCCGGCTGCACTCCTCGGTCTTCACATGAACAGAAAGGAGATAGTTATGAGGACAAAATACAGGCACGTTTAAGCTTAATATCTGACATGCTTTCACTGACCTACACTTCAGACAGATATACAGACATACAGGATGAGATAGATAGATGATATAAAACTCACCTCGCAGAGAGTTAAATTTCCTGAGTTTTTCTCTTGTTGCGGTTTTTAACTTTGTGATGTATTGCTGACTCATCCTATCGCCACTAATGTCGATTAAATACACTCGCTGTAGTTATGTTAATAGTTAAAGTGCAGCAAACCTATTTCAGATCGTCTCCTACTTCCGGGTGTTGTCACGTGGTTACGTTGCCGGCGAGTAAACGGAGCACGTGGTCAGGGTGGACCTGCAGTTTTGTTTTGGTTTTGTTTACGTTGGAAAACAGCCATAGATATATCATTTTTATATTTTAACACATAATAAATACAATAAAATAAAATGTAAATATTTATATTATATTGGCTCTGTCCCGGAAGAGTGAAACAGTGAAGTTCACAGGAAGATCTTAGTGTTTTGTTTGTATTATTAATTGGTTTCTGTATTGTTTTGTTCTGTGTTCCATACATTATGTGAAATTGTCTCTCTTTTCTATTCTTTGTTCATTTAAATATATTTTCTATCAATTTAGTCTTCCCACATGATGCTCTGAAGAGCCCTCACTGCACTCTCTCAGGATATATATATATATATTCAGGTGGAGAAATGCAAAATTACATTAAAATCCTTTGCTGTTTTAATGTAATTTAAAGGCTCTGCACACCCACACAGGTGTTTTCACTTTACTGGACGATTGGCCTCTGCTCAGGCTGAAAGTATGCAGAGCAATGCTGGGAGTTGTGTGTATAGGAATGGCTGAAATAAGTGAATACACCAGTATGGGTTTATCTTGGGTGTGTGTACACCATGAAAGTTCATTCTTGACCTTGACAGTAGTTTGACAAAAGAAACTAAGTGGACTTTAAGTACGATTTAATCAACAGTTTTATTGTAATCTATTTATGTTTATGTGTCTTAATTGTGTTTTTTAACCTAACCTTTAACCTAGTCTAATTTAGATGTATTGAGAATCAACCTTTTATCCCAATTATAAGAATATATTTATTTTTATGGCTGAACAATGTTACAAAGTGCTTTACAAAAGAAAAAGAAACCCAGACAAGGATGATTATCATAATTGACAGGTCCTTGAAACTCCAAATTCCCAGACACAATAATTAAGTACATGACCATGATGTCTTCAGTGGTGGCTCTGGACCTGTACAAGTACTAATGGTGTTTTAGTGGTTTTACTTCACCGCAGTGCAGACAACCTCCCAAACAGACCTACAACCTGATGTAAACTAATGAGTGAAATAAATCATTTCTTTTTCTGAACATAGCTAATTGCCTGCTGAATAACCTTTGATAATTAATTGATGACAAAAGTGCACTTTACTCCCTGAATGGAGTCTGTTAAATTAATTAATCTATTACGCTAGCTTTTATAATCAGAAATAACAATCATTTTTAACAAGGTTTTCTGTCACTGTTCACATGTTACCATGGCAACAGATGCTCAACATCCTCAGGCTACATGTTTATTTGCATGACATTAAATTGTATATTGTTACAAAGTGTATTCTCTTTCTCTTACACCACATTCCTGGTGCTGTGGGTTAAGAAAAAGCAGATGCAAGGGTCTTAAATCTCCATGACAACAACATGTGGAAATGTCTTGGGACTGGTTGTCTGCTAAATAAGCCCTTTGACATCTCAGTGGTGCTAAAAAGGAAAGTTTAAGACAGTTAGACACAATTGCAGATACTTGAGGAGCGAGCTGGATTAAAAAAAAAAAAAAGGGTCTCTTTTGTTTAAAAAATTGGAGGAAGAATTCAGACAATGTCAACAACCTGGGCTATATTTAACTTTTAGAGTCTGCGACATAGGCTGTGCTATCAGCTGATCAGCTGTGGGTAACAAGCCTCAAGTAAAATAATTGAAAAGGAAAAAAGATGAAAGAAACTGATCCACACAGATCAGAGATCTTTCTTTAGACCTTGTTCAACATCCACTACTTACTGCTAGTATTTCATATTGGCTGTAAACTTTTTTTTATAAGAGGTTATATAAGACTGTGCAATTCCGCTGCACTGAAAACACACAACTTGGCCACCTTCAACCACATTTATCCTTCCAGTATTACAAAGATAAGGCTAAGCAGTTTCTACTGAAGCTCTCAGAGCTCTGTCAACAAGGTTGCCTTCCAGATGACAGCCAACAGGTTGCAGGCAGACTTTGAGCAGAAGAAGTTGGTAAACCAGCCTATGGAGCTGGATTGTTGAGATCGTTCACAAAGCACTTTGGCAGAGGCAGTAGGTGCAGGACGCCGGGCAGAAGTATGCTGCATTTTTAAAACAGAGGTGAAGAAGGAAGGCTTGGGAGTGGGCACTGACCGAGGCTTTTCACAAGAATAGCACAAATCAGACGCTGTTCAGTGACCTGCAGAGTGGTGTGAACTGGCAGCGGGCGTTCAGCCGCAGGCCAAGACACGTAATCCACTCATCCAGGGATGCTTTGGACAGATTTATTTCACAGGATTACTGACTGGCCTGTGCCTGACAGTATTTCATCCTTTTACCTGAAATTTCACACTGTACTGACGATCACATACATTTTTTCATTACAGATGCTGCTGTTCTCCCTGTTCAGCTGTCCGGGAAGCAGTGTGAGCACAACAGGATGATCATGGAACAAGCACAATACCTGGAAAGCAGACAGAGCTACAAACTCCTTTAAACCCCAGTCAGAGGCAGCCAGCACAACACTAAAATCACAAGTTACAGTGGGATACAACTGCAAGCTGTGTTTTTCCTTTCTTTTTTCTTCATGAAAAATGGTTAAGGAATGTCAGGAATGCAGGGTGAAGGAGGTGAACACCAACACAACAGCTAAAATAAACATAATCCACTGGTCTATTGTGTTTATTGTTTCAGTTTAATCAAGAAAACAGCTTGGCCATCGAGTGTCAACATGTTATACGATCAGTGCAAGAGTTGTCCTGTACAATCATTGTCTCAAAATAAAAACTTTACATTACACACTAAATGTACAATTGGCTTAAGTCTTAATCAAATAGTTTAAAAACTTTATTTAGGAGGTAGGAAATATACTATATCTAACAATAAGCTGTTTCAAACATCCCAGCTTAGAATAATTTTATTCTCATGTTAGTTTCTGTAAAGACTGACGAGAAAGACTCTTGCTTCATACCTAATAATCTTGCTGAAAACATGTAGCAAATTCTTACAAAAACCTATACAGTGCATTTCTTTATCCTTTCTCTCTCCCCCTCTCTCTCTCTCTCATTTACAGAATAAACAAAGTCACACAGTGCAAACTGAGGTTTAAAGACTTGGGGGGGGCGGGGAAACCAACCACAAATCCATTGCAAAGACGTCTGCAATCTCCGGGGGGGATACTTAAAGAGCATGGCACCTCCACAACAGAAGTGCCATGGGATGAAGACAGAGAGATGATCCTAATCCCTCCTACTGATGCCACTGCTCCTCTTGTGGGGAGACCATGGCGCCACTGTTATGTCTCATTGCAGAGAGTGGCAGAGCAGCCAGGCTGTTTTTGTTGGCCTCCAGGAAGTCGCTACAGGCAGAGAAAGCGCTGTAAAAGCTGGAGGAGAGGCCAGCGATGTCTGTGGAGATGTAGGGGAGGACACCCGGTGTGGCCTGGTTGTAATAGGTGATCTGAAACAAAACACAGGTCAGACATGGTGCAGTAAACCACTGCATCTTGTAATTACTTTTGCTTTAGTTTTAAAGTTGTGAAGCTTTATGCTGCAGCAATGTGCTCATAGAAAGCGTGCATGCTGAACTGCGTGTCCCTCTCATTTGGCCAACCTTGGTGACAGTACTGGACTCTTCCCAGATTGTGAAGCCAGCACAGAGCACCTCTCCCCTGGTGTAGTCCTCAGTGGGAGGGTGAGTGGGCAAAGTGACAGAACGCAGAGCAATCAGATATGGGTCCCTGAGAGGGACAGAAGAAGTGGGCATCATGAGAATTTATGAAAGAGTTAGTGGCAGTAATGCAATAATTGGTTGCATAAAAATATAATAATATAAAAGGTGGAATAGGATATCGAGAAACAAAAGGTGAAAAAGTTTATTATGTTACCACACCTGGCATCACATGGCTTCCTCCTAGATGCCAGCAAGATAAAGTCCTTGCCTTTGCCCCTTTTACTGACCGACGGTGTGGCTACGCGATAAAGTGTGTCTTCCTCATCTGCTTGGTTGATCATTTCACATTCCCTGCAGTGGCCACAAAGCAATAAGCATGTGATACAATGCAGATGTGAAAGAGTTAAATAACTATGTCTCACAATCAATTAAGAAAAATAACTGGAACCTTTTGATTATTTTATTTGTTACTCATTTTGTCCTGAATTAATATGTGCCAACGTATGTCATGCTGAACTTTCCCCGTATGTTTGTTTTGTTGTTTGCTGTAATAATATAATACAACTGAGTAATTTAAAGTATAAAGCTGGTGATATTTGACATTTCTTCTGTTGTCCAAAACCGACAATTAATGTATCCTTATACCTCTGTGCCATAGACCTCCATTGTTCAAAAATGATGAGGAATGAATGAGCACCATTGTTGCACTGGTTTACATGTTGCTTCATTACCATGAATATAGGCACTGTAGTTTATTTTGAGTGCATCCCACATACACCTTCCTGTGGCTGTAAATACTCACTAAAGCACCAAATGTGTATTACTCCATAGCTGAGAAGAGTCCCCTGAGAAACACTCTATTACTATTAATTCCTGTGGCATTTGCTAAAAACTACAGTGCCCTGCTGTTTTATGAAATTACTGAGCCTTTTTAAAAATAAAACTGCATATTTAAAGATTTACATATTCTATAAGAATCTAGAAACAAATGGGCTTGGGGCTGAGCATCAAAGATCCAAAGTATTGAGAAACAGACAAAAACACTGTTTTGGTGTTTTTATGTGATTTGCTGACAAAAATATAGAATAACATCTGAATTATCCTTTAAGCTTACTCTGCTGACTGTAAGTTGCTGTACACCAGATGACGCTAAATGCCAAAAATGTAGACGTTACTGACTCATAGTGCTGGTCCCACTCCTTTCTCCGCCTCAGGTCTGACAGTAGGTGGAACGTTTGCTCTGCTGGTACACCGACGTGCATCTCCACCTTGAAACACAGCACGTGATTTTCCTCCAGTGTGTACAGCCTGACCTAAGAATGGAGCACATCCACAAAGAGGAGGTGGGCTCTACATGTACAAACAGGTTTTGTTCCAGTTATTTTAATGCACGCACAGTTTGACAGCTGTCACGCTAATTGGTGGGTGCATGAGAGATTCTACATATATTAAATATTTTGAGGATGACTTTAGTCTGAGCTTGTTCTCTCAATCTCTGAAAATTACTTTAGACAAAGTTTTCAGACTTGTTCTGCATTATTCCACCATTTAATTAAAGCAGTGTGGGCCTACTTCCAGGACAGCCACTGTGACTGTGCAGCTTCTTCAAAATAATACGGATCCAAATGCACGGTGGAATCGCAACAGCTGTAACTATTTAACAAGCTATATCCTGGATGCTAATACAAACAATACTGACCTTGTTTTTCTCAGAAGTTAATACCCAGTTGTTTCTGGTATCCATTAGTTTCAGTGCTGATACATTATTGTAGCTCAGGTACATCTGAAAAACAAAGGGCTGTCTGAACTCTTGACCACAGTGGCAATATCTAATAAGCCTTCCTAAGCATGTGTGCCTCTGTTTGCCTGAAATTGCAATACCTGGTTACTTGGATCCCAGGGAACAGACAGGGGCACTTCAGTTTGCTTGCAGGAGATAATGTATTTCCTGTAAACAGGTAGGGCACAATGATTTACATTCAGGGACAAAAGAAAGATGTGACCGATTTTCATTCTAGCAATGATACAACACATTTGGTTATCAAACAGTGGAGTGAAGATTATACTGGAGGCCGGGTATTTTACAGTTGAACAATGAACTTATTATGCTTGACAGACTCTGCACCAAAGTCTGCTCAGCTGTGATATGCTGCTCTGCCAAGTCATGTGCTGCTGCAGAGGATTGTAAACAATAGACAAACTAAGCAATGATGACTCCCAGTGCTTTATAGTGCATCATGTACTATAATTTGTTTTGTTTTTTTCAATGTATTTGTTGGTTTTGTCATGTTTAATGAGAATCCATCTTGCATACAATGTTGGTTTGTGGTTGACTATTAGTATCATATCTTCAGTGACAAAAAAACCTGATTCCTCTGCAGCTACTTTTGGCTCAAAACATATGTTTCCTTATGTAATAAATAGGAAAGGGAGTAATAACAGTTTTGTGTTTAAAATATGGACCAACTTTTTTCACAGACAACATACAGATCTGCAACAAACCATGTCAGCACTCTATAAATTTATCAGTAGGCTGTACAAAGAACAAAACCTGATGGTTCAAAGGGATATACTAACCTATCCAGGCGAATCTTCTTTCTGGCAATAGCTTCTTGATAACGTCTTTTTCCATCCTGTAAAACATGGGAAAACCCAATGTTGAAATTCTCACAAAAGGATGCTCATTTAGCTTTTTTTTGGCTCCATACTTATATGTATATTATGGGCTCCCAGGCACTGACAGGACACTTAAAAAACTCACCACAGGCTCAGGTCGTATCCGTGGCAGCGTGCTTGGTTTCCTGTCACTGTCCAGCACCTCAAACGTCATAAAAGCACTATTTATATGGCGCAGAGGTTCTCCACCCTGATAGGCCTCAGCACACACTCCCACCTCCATGCTATAGCACACCATGTACACAGGCGCGTGGGTTCACAAAAGATATGCATTCACACAGACGTATAATGTAAACACACTTAGACTGTAAATGTTAAAGATACATACATTTATTAGATGAGTTGAGAGTTGTTTGTCCCTTGTGCGATAAGAAGTCCTCATTATGTGTAGTACTCACCTGTGCTTGAAGGAATTGTTAACAATGGCTTTCAGCACTAGTCGGTCACCAATATGAGATGGGCCACGGAAATGGAACATGTCTATGCTCCTCAGGGTTGGGTGAGCGTTGCACAAGCGACTAGATCAAAATATGAAGAAGAAAGAGCAAAGTGTTTGTAGTTTGTTTCAAGTGCTGATGTTTTTTTAACCAATACATTACAAATAGCATCTTGGCAAATTAGGAATTATTAGGAGTTACTAGGAACATGTTTATTTGTTTTCTTGCTGAGAGTTATGAGAAGATCACTCTTATATCTGCTGGTTAGGTATGAAGCTACTGCCAGTTATCCTACCTTAGCATAAAGACAAACCAGGAGAAACAGGGTAACAAAACTCATCGACGATTACCAGGTTTTATCTTGTTTGTTTAATCTATACAAATACTGGAGTGAAAAATAAACTATTTGTGCATTTATGAGGGGTTTTCTGTAGGACTATTTTGTGGCCGGGTGGTTTACTGGCAACCTCAGCCAAGAAATAGTCCCGCACAACTCCTTATAAAATCATAACTTGTCGTATTAAACCAATTAGATATAGTGTTTTAATTAGTGAACTTCAGGAGTGCTGGTAGGTGGAGTTTGTTACCAGGCTAGCCCTTCCTCCTGTTTCCACTTGTTATGCTAAGCTAACTGACTGCTGGCTGTAGCTTCATATTTAAATATTTCTTTAAATTTTCTTTTAAGCTAGTTTTAAAAAAAGTAACAATGACAAACAGAAAAACTAGGTCCACACCTTGCTGCAATTGTAGCCACATTCTCCATCCAGGCCATGATCTGACCCCCAAAGGTGCTGACTTGGTGGTTGGCATGTGGCGGTAGCACCAGTTCCACGCTCTCCACTCGTGTCCGCTCGGCTGGCACAGCATCCTGATACTCCTGGCATTCTCCTGGTGAGAGCGCACAAACAAGGAGCTTTAGTCAATCAGACTCCAAATGGTGCCAAGTGCTGTGTTATAAAGCCCTACGTCTACTGTCTGTACTCAGTTGAGCTGTGCTGCTGCTCAGTAGGTCTGTAATGATCTCAGCATGGATGAGCCTCATCCTCCTCCGCTCTGCTGCCAGGCTGTACTCCATCTGCTCCATTTGTGTGCGAGGAATCACCTGCTTCAGCTGTACCTGTGCACACAAAACACACACAGAACCAGAGGATGTTGAACCAGCTTTAGTTAAATGGCTTTGTGTTCATATTTCGGTTATTGCCACTTACCTTCCCAGCTTCAGTTCGTCTGGCCACAAAAGTAGCAAAGGCATGGCAAACCTTCCACTGCCTGTCAGTGTAAAGGTCCTCACAATTGACCAATATACCCACCTGAAAGAGAATCACCACATTTATTTATTACTTATGAAATAAAATGAATGCTCACAATGCTGAAATCAAAAACAATGTCCACCAACCTCCATACTGGACGTGAAGGCTCGGTTGACCTTAGCTATGATGTTTACAACCTTTCCCACCCTGGAGTAGACAGACACAGATGCTTCTCTTTACTATCAACATGAAGCAGTGATTATAGTATCAACACATTGTGAACCTCTCAACTATGAGACGTAATGTTCAGTTAGTGTCAGGAATGATTTGGAGATACACCATGGTAGAGCAGCAATAAGGTTAATACCTTACCCTATGGTGTGTTCAAAATGGATGTCGTCCACAGATGCAGTGATACAGGAACAACCTGCATGTCTCTCGGCTGGGAGAGAAGAGATATGGAAATATTTAGGTAGTGCAGCACAAAATCACAAAGCATCTGTGAACTGGGTCACTGATTGACTATGAAGACATCATCTTCAGACCTAAAAAATAAAAACATTACTCATAGGGAATTCCTTAAAACAAAATCCTCTCAAATTGGGGTTCTGTGGTCTAATGTGCATCTCATGAAAAAGTTTGGGCCATTTCTGGATTGTTTGTCTGTTTGTTTGTTGTTTTTATAATATATTGTTTGATTGTATTTTTCCTTTCTTTTCTCTCTTATATTGACATTGTTTATTGTTCTGGAGTGGCGACACTCTGTAAATGCACAATCTGGTTAAAAAAAGAAAAGAAAAATTAAGAAAGAAAACATTTGGGAACCTCTGATCTATTACACAAAAAGATACTTTCAAATTGAAATGCATAAATCATAATCGGTTTCCAGAAAATCGTACTACATATATATTAATACTGAATATATAAAACTGTGTAGGATTTAGCGCTCTAGCAGTGTAGTTGAAGATTGCAACTAATTTGCTTCACCATCCTTTTCCAAGTGTGAGGAAGAAACTGTGGTGGCTGCAAAATGCATTAAAAACACAAACGCCTCAATCTAGAGCCAGTGATCAGTTTGTCTGTTCTGTGCTGAAGATCTAACATGGTGACTGGCTGCATCTGTAGATATAAATGTCTCATTCTGAGATAACAAAAAACACAATAATTATATTTCCAGATGATTATCCACTAATGAAAAAATACCTATAAATACATTATATTCCATATCTGCCAATGGATCCTCCTAAATGTTACACACTCAACCTTTAACTACCTGGCCTCAAGCCAACCAGTCTGTAATTAAACCCATAGTGTCTTTATAAGTGGGCCTTAAAAATCTTGGACAAAAAGCAAATAAAAAGGTAAGAACTTAATATGAAGAAAAAGAAGAAGATATACCAGCTACCAGCGCCTCATGAGCAGGTTTCGGGGTTAGGTTGCCTTGCTCAAGGGCACCTCGGCAGTGCACAGGAGGTGAAACTGGCACCTCTCCAGCTACCAGTCCACCACACTCCATTTTTGTGGTCTGTGGGACTTGAACCGGCAACCCTCCGGTTCCCAAGCCAAGTCCCTACAGACTGAGCTGCCGCCCCTATATATGTGCATTTTATTGATGTAAAGCTGGTCTTTAGAATGTTTACACAGACTTGCTCCTCAGCCTTTCTGCAAATACATCAAGAGACTACAGAACTTCAGCAGATCCACCAGAGATTCCACCAGAGATCCACCTCCAGCTTCAAGTGGCAATTGCCATCTTCCATTCTGTCGACCATTTTTTGCTCTGACAGCTCAAATAAAACTTAAATAAATAATACTACAAGTGTTACATGAATCCATTTTTGTGTGTTTAACACAAACACACACACACACACTGGTTTATCTACCTAGCTTAGTTTAGGTATGTAAAAAAAACCTCCCTTTTGAATCATCAGGATTTAATTTTTAATGCAAGTTTACTACTTCCTGCTAGAATACTTCAGCAATGGGATATTCTTGGATGACGATGGTGCATCCTCAGAATTGCAGATGCTTGAGAACGTTTAAGGCTTTATAATCTCCTGGTGAGCAGTTACATGCTGTGAAGCTGAGACGTAAGAAAACTACTGAAAGTTTCGAAGTAACACTTTTCATTCATTTAGCTCATATTGTAAAAGTGAGCAGTTTTCCTACCAGACAAGCAGGCTGTGGAGTCCATCCATTTCAGCAGCTGCCCGACACTCAGCTCTCCACAGTGGTTGGCATGGCATGGCAGCACAATCTGACTCATCTTTACTTCAGTGGGGTTTCTGTACCCTTCCTCACTCTCCTCAATGAACAGAGGGTCCTGCACGGTGTCTGCATGTTTCCCCTCTGACGTCATAGTTCACAACTACAAAGATGGGAAACACAGGGGAAAAAATGTGTTACAGCAGAACCAGGACAGTGTCCACTTGGATTTGGACTCACATACTGAAGGAAAAATATAATGATTACAGCCACATCACCACAAAACATATGATTGGAAGTTGCATTACTTCATACAGCAAAATCAAAAAAATGGACGCATCAGTTGTAAAAGGAGTTAAACAGGGGCCCTTTCTACACTAAACCTGGACCATGTCCGGATGTAAAAACATTCTGTAACCCAGATAGTAAAAGTATTTCTTGGAGCGAGCACCAGTCTTCTATTTTAATTATGGTTAAGAAAAGCACACTTTATTTGTTATTTATACATTTTGGTCCCCTAAAACACAATTATATAATCTTAAAAAAAAAAAAATTATTATGAAATGAAAACAATTATTTTTCCATCAGTTGTGATGGATAGTTGATGAAATCTGTTTGGGGTTCATTCAAGGACTCTTTCAGCTGACAAGCAATCCATTTTGAGTTTAAGGTGGCTGCAACACAGGTGTTTACACCCACATCTAACAGTAATTTAAGTGCAGAGTCAGAAGCACTACTACCAAAACACAGACATTTCTAATCTGTTAATATGCCTTGATTTTGCTCCCCTACTGAACATGAAATATGCATTCATCATCATTTGTGCTGCAACCTAAGACGCTTTAAATAATCTGCAACTCAAGTTTGTGAGAAATTGCCCAACATTTATCCCCCACCACCACCACCACTGAAGGATCAGGAAAAACCTGAAGCGCCTATTTATGTAATCAAGCATTTGATGGTGCAGCTTCTACACTATCAATGAATACAATTATACATACAACCTTTGTTTCTAAGTGCAGGCTGGGTCCTGTCTTTTTAGAGCGGTTTTATTCATGCTGAGACTGAGAAACTATTTCAAGACACATGCAAACTATTTTAAGGCATGCCGCTGAATGGGTTACTCATGGAAACTATTTGTTGGGATACAAGTGTTTGCCCATAACTTTTGCTCCAGTGGGACTCAGTGGTCACCTGTCTTTCCTGTCATCGATGACAGGAGCTGCGGTGACCTTTAAATTGACTTCAAATGAAATGAGACATTCACCATTAAACTTCTGTTGCCAAAGCACACCCACAAAAAACAAAATCACTGGTAAACACGGCCATGTATTTCACACTGAGAGCAAATGAAATAGGAAAAAGGCTCACCTGATTTTAAAAGTTACTGCAGGGTAAAGAGGAGATAAAGTCCTTCGCGTGGTAATGACTGTCGGCTGGGAAACATTAACGCCGGCTGAGACTGTGCAGCCTGCGACCGGGGCTCTTAACCATGTCACCCACCCGCTGAACAACACAACAACTTGCTGAACACACACATGCACACACACGCCATAGATTTAGAGTTTCACCACTGGAGGGAGAGAGAGAGAGAGAGAGAGCGAGAGGGGGAGAGAGGGAGAGAGAGAGGGAGATCCCCCTGTAGTTACAGTCCACATTTTTAAGGTGGAACTGTGGTGACCTCATATTTAAGGGGTTTAAAGGCGATATTTAATAGCAAATCAAACAGGAAAAGCATTTGTTCATGCACTTATTTAAAGAAATAAAAAATATATACTCTAGAAATGTTATGGATTCTAAAAAAAAGTGGTTTCAATATGTATGTAAAAGTTCTTCCATACTCAAGCACCGTTTAAAAGTTTATTAAACTCCAACAATGATCTCTTCAGAGGAACCCATTTATCTAGTCTTACTTGAGACGCTTTTATTGATTTGCTATGTATTGTAGGGCCTGCATATTTGCTTCTTTACTTGTTAATTTCTTATGTAAGGGAAAACAGGGCTTATTCTATCCCATATCATCATTTATTTGCTCCTTGTGAGGCAAAACCTTATTGTTCTTCCTACAGTATAAGTTGCTGTTAATTAATACACTTAAAAGTCCATAACATATAGAAATATAAGGCTCTTTTGGTATGGAGCCCACATAATAAAAGTAATACTAGTAAGAGTAGTACATAATTAAAATGAAGGGTCCAAAGAATAATAAACTTTGCCTTAAAGCTCCAATCAGTTTTCAGGGCACCATATTTTGGAGATTTGATTTTTATAGTTTCTATAAAATTATTTTTTATTAGAATTATTTCTTAGATATAGATACTTATACATACATTTTATTGTAAAATATTTTTTGAGAAGGGAAAAATGGTTGAAATGGTTGATTGTTAATTGCCAGAACAGTTAATTCATGTCAGAATCAAGTGTTGTAAACACTTACAGAAGAACTATCAGTTTCTTCATTAAATTACGCTCATTGATATCGCAGCTATCAACGTCAAAAACAGCAAACTGAAAGCACGAAGAGGCAGACCTTAAGGCGAACGGCGCTCTCTCATTGGCTGCCGGCGGCGTCAGTCACGCCTGGCCCCGCCTCTTCCCCCCGCGGACCAGGCTCGGTTGAGTCGTCGGGTTGAGCAGGAGTGCGGTTGGAGTGCGAGAGGGTCGCGGCCGCGATGATCTGACAGATGAAATAGCGAAAAAAAAGAAAGAGAAGGCGGGCGTCCTCCCACACTAAACAATGTTCCCCAAAGGCAAAGGCACCCCGGTGCCCTCGGACGGCCAAGCGCGAGAAAAGTAAGCTCAGAAACGTTTTTTATTGTGTGTTTTTTGCCTCGTAAGTTTTTCCCTCTCGCTCTCTGTTGTTCGCTGGACAGAGCTAGCGAGAGGCGATTTCCTCCTACCGAGAGTGGAATTGAATGAACCGCCTTGTCTGCTCGCCATTCCTTCCCCGAGCTTGTGTTTGTCGCTACCTCTGGCTTATTGCTGCCTCTTTTTACACCTCTACGCACCGATTCCGAGGGCTTGTGTGTGTGTTTTTTATTTTTTAAACCGGCGGTTGTGTGTGATATTTTGTGCGGTTTTGTGCAGTCGAGAGCCCGGAGAGGAGAAAACAATAACATCGCCTTGCCACACAGTACATTGTTTTCTCTGTTGCGCTCTGGATAGGCTCCGTTTTTATTTCCCTCAGCCCCATCAGTGCCACCAGGATACTGTACCTAGCTAATACACTGCAGGCTGGTGCTGGGGCTTTTATTTTTTTAATTTTTTTTTACCCTTTCACATCACGACGTTAAATTATACTGTTGCTTTAGCACTTTCTTGTGAGCTCCTCATTGTAGTGAATCTAACCAGGCTTTGGCTTGGTTACACAGTCCCCATTTAATTTTTTGGCATAGGCTATTTGGCAGCCATTGTTCAGAGGGCCTGTACGCGACTCTAGTCACTCAGTGTGCCCGCTGAACAAGATTTAACCTCATGATTTTAACGTTTATTTTTAATTTTTTTTTGCCTGTTTGTTAAATTAAATTTAAAATGATGTTGTTTTTTTGTCTCCCCCACACAGGTTGGCTCTGTATGTGTATGAGTATTTGTTGCACATAGGAGCACAGAAGTCTGCACAGACATTTTTATCAGAGGTATGTGGAATTTTGGAAAAAAGTTTTTTATTATTAATATTTTTTTTAAATATAAATGTATCATACATGCTCTTTTAGTAACAACAATATTACCATGTACGTAGTTGACACATTATAAAAAAAAAAAAATCCCCATTTCCTAGATCCGATGGGAGAAAAACATAACACTCGGAGAACCCCCTGGATTCTTACACTCCTGGTGGTGGTAAGAGATAATGTTCCTGTGTCCGGGTAAACATGTCCAGGGGTTGGTTGTGTGGTTTTGTTTGCTTTATGACCTGTCTTGTCCACAGTGTATTCTGGGACTTGTATTGCGCTGCGCCAGAGAGGAGAGAGACATGTGACCACTCCAGTGAAGCTAAAGCCTTCCATGATTACGTGAGTAGTGCTTACACGGGGAACTGTTGCACAGATTGTTCTGTCTCCTGCTAAAGAAGACAACAACTTTCCTGTCAAGGCTGAGAAGTGGTGTAAATAATGCGCCTCCAACTCGGGTTGTGCAATGAGTCAGACTTTTTTTTGGTGGAGCTATCAGTGCAAAGTCCTCATAATCTCTGTTTGTCAACGCTCAAGTCCTGACAAAATCTCCCACAATCCCCTTCAATTGTGATACAGCTGCCATACTTCAGGTTATTGTGATTCCCTTTAAGCTTGAGGAATTGTAATGCTTCACCCTAACAGGCTGTCTGCCTTTTTGTCTATGTTTCGCACATTATTTTAGAGATGAAAGTCATTTGTTCCACTTCAGCTTTGTAGCAGTATTTAACTATCTAATGCAAATTAGGACAGTATTTTTTTTTTCTCTCCCTGAATTTACGATCGGTCATCTTGCCCAGTTGGTGGGTCGAATGATGCGCCCAACAATGAGCTTTATAGGCTTCTGGGAAAATGATGCTGATGTCAGCATGTCCTGATTCAGACCTGTCGAGTGCTCTCCCGTTATCCACGCCACGCTAAGGCTCCCTGCCTCAGCTGTGAAGACGAAAAAGAACCTTGTGTGTGTGTGTGTGTGTGTGTGTGTGTCTGGGGCACAACTTCCAGACACTTTATACACACAGCTTGATATTTGACAGACGTCCAGCAGACCTGAGGTGTTGCAGTGTGATAGTATACACTGAAACATATTACCTGAAATGATATGATCCCGATGGAATTGAAACTGAAAAACTATATATGTCGGATCCAAAATCTATGAAATGTCACGAGTATAAGTGCACCCTCGTATGACAGCACTTCCACATTTGCATGGTATGGGTGTTTTGCATCCTGATAATTATGCCATTTTAGAGACGGTGTGTGTTTTTTTCTCCTCCGTGTGCTGCATTGTTTCCCGCTTTGAGTCAGCATTCAAAAGCAACATCAAAAAGAGCCTCATGAGGATCAAAGGAAGTGTGAACTGCTCGTCAGTGGCTTCTGCCGTTCTCATCCTTGTGCTTCTCCGGCCTGATCTGAAAAGATGAGACAAGCATCTTGCAGCTGATGTCAATAAAAGAAAGATACTTTTTCAGGTTTTGCTGTATCAGCACAACCAAGGAAAGACATTAGAGGTTAAGGAGTCCTCTGTGGATGACTGATACACATAACCACAGTTTGTTGGTAGTTTGGTGTATCAGACAAAGTGGGGTTAAAACGGAGATGCTGGTCCTGCTCTTGGCAGATAGGGTTGTCAGGGTAACCGGCCTCCTGATCTAGCAGGTGACCTGGGAACCGGCTACAGCGTGGCTCTGCCCTTTCAAAAACCACATTCCTCATTATTCTAACTCACACAAATAAAAGAGGAAGGTTTTTTGTTTGAAACCAGCCTTTAGACACCTAGCCTCCTTTTATAGGAATTGATCGTAATATTGTTGATTTCTTTTGTGTTTTTTTGTGTTGTTTGGTCATATCAGTGACGCAGAACTCCAAACTCTTTGTCTGTTTTGAAGAAATCATATTTCTAAACATGAATTGCATACCATATGTATTCTTAAAAATGTTAAGGTGCTTAAGAACGATTTAACTCTTTTGTCTAAAATAATTTAGCAGTTTTTCTTTATTATTATTATAATGGGGAAACCACCTCAGACAAGTTTTGAAAGATTAAACAACACAATATAAGCTGTTAAATTGCAGCCCGTGGTTTGACTAAGACCATTTTCATAACATGGAAAACATTAAGCAAATGAGGGAACAGTGAAACGTCAGTCTGGGCAGTGTGCTGCTGTGGTGGGGAGCTTTGAGAGTTTCTGTGTGGTTGGCTCTCCCCGACATCTTGTGGTTGCCCTTCGCTCTGATGTTGGTTCTCCTTGTGTTCATTTGTGGATGTTGGGGTTCAGGCGTGTGTGTGTGTGTGTGTGTGTGTGTGTGTATATCTATATCTATATATATATATATGTAT